TATGTGAAATGTCACCCAGGTGCACTGAGGGCGACTCATTAGCACCGCGGTGCTCTGCAGCAGTGTATCATAAATGGATTTGGAATGAGCCCAGGGCAGCCTTGAGATTTTGCCTAAAGAACAAAAAAATCAATATGAAACACAACTATTAGGACGCCGCCTTTACTACAGCGCCATGTATTCACAATCAAACTTTCTTTTGGAAGTTGATGTAATTTCAGCGTGGCAGGTCATTGTGATCGCTGATGCTGTTTTGTGAGCACACAGAGTATTATGTGACATTTCTGGGTTGTCAATAGTTTGGGTAACCTCAAAGCGTCCTTGTGCCTCGGCACCAAACAGAGCTGCCTTCCCTGCAGGCAGCACTGCTTTAAAAACCATCTTATTTAAATCCTGTTGGTGATTTACTTGTTTTGGGAGGGGCAGACTCTGACAGCTCTCACAGCACATTATATATTTATTACACCACACTGTAGTCATCAATTTGAAAATAATATCCTCATCTTCTTCTTATGGTTTCCATCATCATTTAGCAACCTACACAGGAAATGACTGCCAGTAATGTATATCACTGATATCTCCCAGAGGTGAAATACTTACAGGAGACAAATAGAATAGCACATTAAACTACTCAGCCAGGTTAGATTGCCTTATACACACAGTACGAGAGAAACTTTTTTTTTTCTTCTGGACTCTGAGCAGACAGACGGACACAGTGTGATAACACATTAGTATTATAGCTTGCAATTCACTATTCCCAGGGTGGTGGATATGGTAGCCTAGTGGGCATAATGTGTGTCAATAATGAAAAAGTATCGAAAAAAAAATAGAGAGCAGAAACAGAATTCTGACGAAATTGGCCATTCGCAGCGGGTTCTAATTTTGAAAATGGCCTTGATGGAAAAAATGAAAGTATTTTGCCTGATGCAGCTAGGCCACTGATATAGAAAGTCTTATTAAACTTAGAAAATAACCTGCCCCGCTGAGCCCCCAGATGACTTGCCTTGCTAGATTAAGATTAGTTATTTCGCGCCCAGCTTTTCTGTGTTACCATATTTGTTTTTGCTGATTAATGGCTGTAATTTGGAGAAGATCTGTGGCTGTGCTGTAAAGCCTTGAGGAATATATTAGCCTGTATGTCCTTAAATGCTCTTTAACTTAAGAAGCAGCATTTAATATATGGGGAACAACATATTAAAGGGAATCTTCGGTGTTTCAACTTGGACCCTACTTTCCCATGTTTCTGTGTCTGAGGCTGGGATCAGACAGCTGAAGTTTTAGGCCTTTTTATCCCTGATTCATCCCTCCACACAACTGGAGGAGAAATCCAGTCTGGGACCTTGGTCAGTATCGATGTTCGGCCCAGATTATCTGCTAATGTGAGGGTTGGATCCAGTCTTAAATCTCCTCAAGTGCTCACAGGCTTACTGGGGCTGCCCTGGTATTTTTACACATATTTGATATTTAGAAGTTCAAATCTGGATGTACATGGTTATGATAATGTCAGCACGGAGCACCTGACCGTGCCAAGCAATGGTAAACATTCCAGCCCATGAGGCTAACATTAGCTAGTGTTGCCAGATATTACAAATGAGAGTCAAAATCTCATCTCCAGTTCTTGCTAGAGAATAGACAATCATTTTTTCACCCAGACTTGTTTAGCCTTCTGCTTTTGTTTTTGTCACTGCAAAGTATTGTTAACACCACAGCAAGTTGTCGCACCACGTCAGTCTCCATTTTGTTTACGTCTACCTCCAGCTGTGGCTTAGGAGGTAGAGCGGGTCATCCACCAATCGAAAGATCGGCTCCCCGGCTCCTCCAGTCTGCATGTCTCAGTATCCTTGAGCAAGATACTGAACCCCAAATTGCTCCCAATGGCTGTTCCAGTGAATGGTTACTGAGTAGCAGGTGGCACCATGTATGGTAGCCTTGGCCACCAGTGTATGAATGGTTGTGTGAATGGGTGAATGTGACTCATAGTGTACAAAGCGCTTTGAGAGGTCGGAAGACTAGAAAGGCGCTATACAAGTGCAGTCCATTTACCATTTACATCCCCATGAGATCACATGAGGTGATGCCTTCATGCTCCCTCTGGCACAATAATCCTAATAATATCCAGTAGTGTGTGATGTGCCATTATTTAAAGAATTTGTAGTCAGAGAGAACAACATCTGAGAAGTTTCTCCCCAAAACTGGGTCTGACAGAGACTGTCTGAACCCGACTTCACTAAGTGACTAATGGAAATAACAATTTAAGGAAATGGTCCAGTATTGAGTGAGATCACTAAGGCAGGCTGCTGCGAAACAAGCTGCAATGTAGTCGTTCGGGCAGTAGTGCACTGTCACTGTATGTCCACCAAAAGAGCCTGTCAGTGGCTAAGACAAGCACTGTTAGTGGACATACATTGAGGGTGCACTATTGCCCTGGACGATTACATTGCAGCCAGCTGCTGCAATCCGGTCTCACTACGATGTCGTCGAAATCCGGCGTCAGACACTGACAAAAAAGCCGCCCTGTAATGTCGGCATGATACGCGTTGCCATTATAGTTTGCCGCTTGGCGGCATCAGAGGGAAATGGGACAAGAATGAAAGTTAAGGTGGCAAAAGTCCATGTAGTGCGGGCAGGAAAGGTGGTGGATGGGTCGAACAAACATTGACTTTCACCCTGGAGAGTGGTGTTCACGTCCTATTAGTCTGAGTGGGCGGAGGTTTGCTGCATAGATCAGCCTCTCATTGGGCGGTACGAGCCACCCGCTGAAGTCCCGCCCTACCACCTCCGGGTGTGTAGCAGTTTTCAACCGTTTTCAACACGTCCTTTACTAACTTTTGCAGTGTTTGATCTTGCGGGGATGTAGCCATTTTTCTGCCATGGTTTGCATCCTGTAGGCGATATACCTGTTTCCCCTCGGCAATATTTTTGCAAGCAGACCGTTGCTGTGGCACCGCCCAGAACGATTGTGATTGGTTGAAAGAAATACAAGCAGTTGGGGCATTTTTTTCTCCAATATTAAAGTGAGAGTCGGCCCAGCCAGACCTTTCTTTTCTTGAGAAAGGTCTGGTGAGCGAGACTAACGTCCTTTTAGATTCTAAAGCCAAACCCTGTTCTTTTTTTCGTGAACCTAACCACGTGTTTTTGTTGCCTAAACCCAACCATGTGCGTTTGTTGCTGGAGAAAAGTCAATTTGTGGTGTTGTACTTACGTAGTGCTTTTATTTTGAAAAAGACAGTTTGTAGATGATAAATTTCCTGTGAAAATGGAAGTGTATTTTGAAGGAAGACAATGCATGTAACAGGCAGAACTTGACACGGTGTCCCAGAACGTCAACAACCAATGCACCCAGGGTACCTTTCATGTCGTATGTGGACGTCAAAAGTCCATGACCAAACTTCATTATGTGATGAGGTCGGAGTGAGAATGTGTTGGCTGCAGCGGTCTCACTCAGTACTGGAACAGTATAAACAAATGTTGTCTCCATTTGCACTGAGACACAAAACATAAGAAAATAGGGTCCAGGTTTTTTTAATCATTATACATGTACATAATAGGTGATTATGTTAAAGTAATATTATAGTAATCATTAAAACACATTAAAATCTAACTAGTACTAATGGTGCAGAGGCCCCGAGGGTTCGCAGTTCCTCAGTTTGAGAACCACTACTTTGGTTTCTGTGTCACCTCTTTGTACACGAGCCAGGAAAGCCTTTTCGCCGGCTATAAACCACTTAGGTCATTTCCCAGTGAAAAGAAGACCAAATTTAATTTCATCACTGGATGGTGTGGATTCAAATCTGTGCATTGTCATCTGTTTGTATTATTATTTTTTTCCTCCCTCCAGATAACGCTGGCAATATTTTCTCTGCCTCCCAGAATAATCCTTAACCAGCGGAGATAGTCCAAGAGAAAAGTTCCTTTTGAGATAGGCTACTCAGGAAAATTGAAAAAGTTATTATTAATCCCACTGCCCGGCACAAACGGAAAGAAACTAATACATATGCACACGCTCATGTGCGTGCCAGCACATGCCCACACACACAATGAAATAAGGATTTTTCCTGTGAAACATGGGCAACAATAACGTTCTCTCTGCTAAATGAGCCATGTCGTTCAAGGATTTTTCATTTTGCTGCCTTTTTTTTTTTCTTGAAGAAATGAGAATATTTGACATTTAAACAGCAGTTTTAAATGTTTGCTCTGATAAGAACAACACCAGGGTGGTGAATGTCTCGGTGTTCCAGTTATATTAAAGTCTGTCAGTATATCTTTCCCTCCTTTTCTTAGACATTTAAACTCAAAGTCCTCGGGCTACACTGAAATCCTTTAGTCCAGAAATATCCCTCTCAGTAAGCAGGTACAAGAAATTCAGAAATAATGTATTTTCTTTTGGGGGAGGGAATTTATTTTTAAAAAAAGTGAATTTAAAAGTCATAAAAACAAGAAGAGCAGACTTATGCCAAAGCTGGCCTACATTGGGCTGGTAATATTCTATTTCTGTTGTAGCCTGCATGGCCAATTAAAACTGTTTCATAATGAAAGTGCATCTTCAGGCAAGTAACAAAAACACTGTAGTATTTAAATCACACATAGTAGCTACTCAGGGTGAGTTCACAGTGCTTCAGTTGTATAGCATTTGAATCCCTGCATTATAACTAATGTTCTTTAGTGAGTTATGGTGATGCCAGTTTAACACTAATGGCGTTATTATGAGTGTTTGTATGCTAAAATAGTTTGATGTTTTGTAAATATGTGACAGCAGTCTTCAGGGAGTTGTTTGTGGAGTCAATTAAAACAAGATGGTCAGTGCTTCTCAATTGTTTTCATGACGTATCCGTCCTCAGCGCGGCAGGCTCGCTGTGAGCTGGAGTGGGCTGGGATGCTCCAGAGACCGGAGATGAGGGGAGGAGAGAGGGGAGGGCGGAGGATGAGAGGGAGATAGAGGGGAGAGAAAGACAGGAGGGGTGGGGTGGGGGGGGGGGGGGGGAGGAGGAGGGGGGTGCGCCTGTATCCATCTCTCTCCTCCCTGTGACGTCGCTCGGTCTGGTCCCGGGGTGCGCTGCTCTCCAGTCCCGTCTCAGCAGAAACCCACTTCAGTTGCTGCCTCCGTCCGTGCACACACAGAAACCTGCGGTGCGACGCGCGCGTTCCGGTGCGGCGAGGTGCGTTGCGGGCACCCGGTGTCCTTCTTCTTCTTCTCCCACTCCACGCTGCCTGTCTTGTCCCAAATTATCAGTGAACTGTTTCCACACTCCGCTTGAACAGAGAGAGAGAGGAGAGAACCTGAGGCGTTGAATAAGAGGGAGAGGGCGGAAAAAGGAGAAGGAGGAGAGACGGAGAGAGAGGAAAGAAGAAAGAAAGAGAGGAGAGAAGTCGCCGTAGTCGCTCTCCTTCCTCGAGCTGAACCTCCACCGAGAAGATGCTGAGAATAGCCGGCGTGTTGGCTGTAGTGGCTCTGGGGTTGAGCGCCGCTCACACCAAAGGTACGGTAGGTGAAGGGCAACTTGCCTGCTCCGTGTGGTGCGCATCAGCGAGTGCGCTACAGCTTTATTCCTGGTGAATGTGGCCGGAGCGGAGAGGCTGTGTGTGGAATGTGGATGCAGAGAAATGTCCATCTGATACAGATAACTGATTACAGCCTGTCTGTGTGTTTGATGCCTTTTCCCTGCAGTGTTCCTCTTTGGACTTGAGGACACTGACCACTTAAAAATTACTATAACTGCACAGATGGCACTTGATGGTATTTGCTTTGTGTGGCATCCCTACAGTACTTCACCATGACCTTATCACAGCATATTCTTTGAGCTAATCTCATGTGGCATCACTATAACATTGATTTAGGGACTTGCACTTTTGTTGTGATACAGTATCTTCTTCTTCTTTGCTGCAACATTATGAGTATTTTTTGTGAGCGGCTGGATGTAGGAGAAACAGTCTGTCACATTGTTAGATGTTGTGAGACTGTGGGTGTTTCCTGTCAAGGTCTGTTTGTGACAGATAGGTGAAGGTAAGGAGGAGGAAAGAGGAGCAGATGATATGTGAAGTCCTTTTAAATAAGTTTTGTGTGGAAATGTGCAAAGAGGTAGCATCTGGGGGCTCCCAGTGATGCTCAGCGTATTTGAAAATGGGCAGAATAGCATGATAACAGTGGTCTTATTAGTGCATGTGGCCAATAATTAGCTTATGGTGGAGGACCTACTTTACAAATCCTTCCTCCACTTCTGGACAGGGAGGTCCAGATGTGAATGCATGAGTAACTCACTCCCAAAGCTAACTGTAATAGTAAAGCTGATCATATCCTTAAGAGACCAAGCTGCAAGTGCTGCAAAGCAGTGATTGCAAACTCCGTCTACATGCAGCATGACAGCAGCCAGGTGCATTTTACAGAAACATTTGGGTGGTTTCAGGTTTACTTTTGCAAATGTACCCAAACTTTGATGAAGCCATCTGAGGTAATCTGCTTGAAATGCTAAATGTAAATGAAGCAACATGAGGATTTATCAACAGGCTAATTTAATCTACAGCTGCGTTTAGTTCATTAAAATTCCACAACAAATAATCCCCAAAGCCATGGATATGTAATGATGACATCCAGATGTCATAAATGTGTGCCATGCTGTTGGCAGCTTTGCTTCACCACTCAGCTATTTTTAGGTCCACCAGTATCCCCACTGCAGTGGGACCGCTCAATTCTCCAGTGAGCCTGGCGTGTGCCGTAGGTAAGCGGGGCAAACGCGGCAACAGGTATGTGCTAATCAACTCCCTGTGGACGGAGACTGGCTTTTACGCAGCAAAATAACAAGGTGACACCTGTCAGTTTCGTCTGGCGGCGGGGAGACAACACAAGTGTGATAAGCTGTTCATCCTCCTCGCCTCCTGACACAGGGAAAAGCCTCCCCGCCGGTTGGCTGGCTGGCTGCAGCTGCAATCTTTGCTGCATGTGGAAGGAGAACATATGCTAATAGACCTGTTGCAGGCCGTGACCTGGCACAGAGGTCAAGCTTTTGCCTCATATGCACTTTCGTTTAAATAGGATTTACTTGCAAGCCACAATGTGCTGCAGTCGAGGGTCTGTGCTCTTGGGTATTCATTTACATGCTGTTACCTGTTTAAAGATATTGTGTATTAACCTGATAGGTTTATCTATGTAATACTGCAGGACAGGAAACAGGAGCAAACTGGGAAGTTGCATTGTAAGGAGGGATTTATTTTTATTTTTTTGTATCCAGAGCTTGGCTGTGAAGTAAACAAATTACTGCCAAGTCAATGGGGGTGGAAAAACCAAGCACACCATGATTCTAATTGATTCCCTAGGGCCACTGTACAGTGCAGTTAAATCCAGGAGAAAATAAGAGTGTATTGTCTCCAGGATCTGTTGCTACGCTGACCCTCGCTGCTTTTCCCCACTTCCTGTCACAGTTGGCAGGAAACAGAGCCCATAAAAAAGCAACAAACCTAAATTATTTCCCATTTCTTCCCCGTGCATCTGTATCTCCATTTCAGGTTTTTTTTTGGAATGACAACTGAAAGAGTGCATTCGTGTCAAGTGTGGTGAAGGATCCGCCTCCATAGCGTCAATATGCGGAGCTGTTTTCCAGATAACTTTGAAGCGCCGCCACTCCTGTCATTTTCTGTTTAGCCACCGTTTCATTCCGGGAAAGCGTGGACGTGCAACTTCCTTTAATCACCGTCACCCTCGAGTCATCCAGTTAGACTCGGCGTGAACGTGTGTGTCTCTAAATGTGCGTGCATCTACTTAGTATGTGTTTCAGAGTTGTCAGTAATCAGAGCTTGAAGCACTAACACCCCTCTGCTTCTGTGTGTGTGTGTGTGTGTGTAGGTGTGTGTGCGTGGGTTTGCCCGCGTGCACGAGCGGCGAGAGTGATAGAGTGCAGCCAACATGTTGACAGCCGCCAAGTATGCAAAAATTGGGCGAGGAGGTGATGTCGTTTACAAAGGAATTATTGCATTCGCAGATACATGCTGTGGCTCAAACGATTTCCTCAGGACTGACTGTGTCGCCGCTCGACAGGGAGAATCTTCTGGCAGCGAAGCAGAAAGAGCTATAGAGTTTTTTGCCAGTGCTGCCCGGAGCCCCGCTTTTGTGTAATTCCAAGCAATATGAACTCTGAATTTAGATAGCTCATTACCAGCACAGTGTATTTTAATTCAGCTACCCACTGTGTGACTCTTTGTTGGTGGAACCTTTTTTTGCTGCTTTATTATGTCCAAATAAACACACTGTACATGTTTTACAGTCTGTAAACACACAAACAGTTTGAATGTAGTATTTCGCCTTCGGAGGATGTCTCTCGGTAAAAAGCTTTAGACTGTGGCTATAGTCTGACGCCTGCTTGTGAAGTCGCAGGATTAATTGACGCTGGTCTTATAATTTATGGTTTTGCGTATATAGGTCTCATGCATGTGTGTCTGGGCGTGTAGGCTTTTGTGTGCGCGTACAAGGGATAAAGAAAGCCAAGAGGATAGTCATTTGAGGATCCCATTAGCAAATAAAAAAGGGGGGTGACAAAAAAACAAGAGGCAGATTTATATCCCCCCCTTTGGAGAGAGGAAGTGCATTATGGGAGCACTCTATAAATCCTCCAACGAGGCTGTGACACAGGATGCGGCACAAATCCTCCTCGGCCTGTAGAGGCCAAGGGAAGCAAGGCTCAGCGACATGGAGGAACATCACACATGCTTTTATAAACACTCGCTTTGTCCTCGAAGCTTCGCTGATCTCGGTACAGCGCCACGCCATTTGGGAAGCAGTAGGGCTTAGTGGCTGCAGCAACGGAACGGCGACCCGGCCGCTGATCCCAGCGCAGTTCCTACAGCCATCAGAGACATAAAGAAAGAGCTGGAGAGTGAGTCAGGGTGGATAGTGTTTAAGCTGTCATCTTCAAACAAGGAGGAGAAGGAAGGATCCTGTGATTACTGATACAGGATAAAAATGGAGCTCTGCAGCTTATTGAACTTTAGCTTTAAAGTGAGCAAATTCTGTTTTTGTTGCTAATGAGGAAAATAATCTTTCCTTTCTGCCTCAGTGTTAAGTATGGAATGAGAGTAGTGTTGAGTGGGTGTTTGTTGTCTCTTTTTAGACTTACACAAAAAGTCACAAATGAAAGGAAGTTTTGTCCCTGAAAGCTATTATCAGATCTTAGTGTAGTGAGGCATCCCACCATGGCCTGTACACTTACATCTCCCTCCATCTTTACTCTGTATACAGTGTCTGACTCTGTTTGTTCTACCTCTTGTATTTTTGTCTCTTCCAGCTCTATTGTCTTTTCAGATGTGGAGAGAGGGGGGTGTTGGAGTGGAGTCAGAGTGTGTGCGAGCATGTAGTTCAGTAGCTGACTGAACTGGGTGCACAGAGCAGTGAGTGGGTGTCTCGTCTTCCTGGAGCTTTTTCTCCCTTTTTTTTTTTTTTTTTAAGTGTCTTTGAGTGGTCATGGCTGACCATACTTGGCAGTAGATATTCAGACAGCCAAGGCTCATTGATTTGCCCAACAAAGTGTGTGTGTGAGAGAGAAAAAAGAGGGAGAGAAAGAAAGAGAGACACAGACAGGATTTGACTAGAATAATACAATTTTTTGCAGCATTAAATTAGAATCTCCAGTGTTTTTTTTGAGGTGTGTTTGGATGGACAGAACATGACTGGAGAGGGAAGAAACGAAACCTAAAAAACAAGGGAGGAAAGGAAAATGAAATTAAAGTACACAGAGAAAAAGATTAGAGAGGAGAATAGAGATGCAGTTAAAAGTTCATTCTTGACCTTGGAAACGGCACTTAAGAAACAATCTCACCACGAGGTCTGTTTAATAACTGCTGAATTTTTCAATCCTATTACATGATCTGTATCAGCAGATGGAGTTGCCCAGTTGTCTTGGAACTGTGCACAGATTGTCAAGTTTTACTGAGAACTTTAAGGACTTCACATCTTTGTTGGCTTAAAAACTGAGAAAGAGATGTTTTAGTGAGGCTACTGTGGCTGAACAATGCATGCAACTGTCTATCTTAAATTTGCTAATGCTGGCTAACGTTAGCCACCATATTCTACTGGTCATTCGAGACTCAGTAAGGCTATACCAACAAAAGCCCAGTTTCCACCAAACACTTTCGGTATGGTGCCTTTGGAACCCAAAGTAACCTTTCAGACATGGTACCTAGACCCTAGAGTTCCCACTGCAAACAGCACTCTTAAATGTGGGCGGGGTTGTTGTCACTATCGTCATTATTGGTGACACAGATGGAAGTCTGCACCTCGTTTATCGTCCACAGAACGAGGCTGCACGCCGACATTTTCAGAACAAAATAGAACAGACTGCAGTGAGAGTCTCTCTCCATGGGATATTTAAAAATAGCAGGTTTGTGCATTTAGTCCTTCTGAGGCAAGCTCAGGGGTTTAGTGTTGCTGGAGCCCACAGGAACGACGCTCCACTCATTACTAACTTTAAGTCATATAAAAACTAAAATAATGGTC